CCACCATCGTTCAAGTATGGCACCCGATGGTGCACGTAGTAATATACAATCATCATAAACCTAGAGGAAAACAAAAACATTCCTAAATAATATGTAATGTGTTGTGGCTCGTTTACACGACAGAGATAATGTTGTGGCTCTTTACACGACAGAGATTTTGTATTCTATAAAAAAACCCCTTTTCCTTTGGATACAAAGGAAATTTCCTTTGGGAATATCCTTTGTATCACCGACCTTTATCCCAAGTGGTCTATGGTATGCCATCTGTAGTGGCTCGTTTACACGACAGAGATAAGCCAGAATACAAAAGAAAACTTTACCACGTGCAAAGATAAAAACCTTTCCTTTGGATACAAAGCTTTGGGAATATCCTTTGTATCACCGACCTTTATCCCAAGTGGTCTATGGTATGCGATCTGCAGTGGCTCGTTTACACGACAGAGATAAGCCAGAATAAAAAACACATTCACCACAAGCAAAGATAAAAAAAACAACTTTTCTTTGGATACAGGGGAAATTTCCTTTGGGGATATCCTTTGTATCACCGACTTTTATCCCAAATGGTCTATGGTATGTGATCTGTAGTGGCTCGTTTACACGACAGAGATAAGCCAGAATACAAAAGAAAACTTCACCATATGCAAAGATAAAAACCTTTCCTTTGGATACAAAGGAAATTTCCTAATTTTCCTTTGGGAATATCCTTTGTATCACCGACTTTTATCCCAAGTGGTCTATGGTAATGGCACCTGCAATGTCGAAACTATCGCCTGCTTCACTGTATCTCTTTTTGTTCCCTTATATCTTCGTGTTTATTTAGCACTCTCATGTGAACCATAATACTTAACTGGGCCGTCTCGTGAGTTTTATAAATAAACCTTTCGAAGAGAAAATGGTGGGGCTTAATAGAGACGGGGGGGGGGGGGCTTGTTTTAAGACAGTGAGCTAAATTAAGATTTGCGGTATAAGTGATTTGTACTGAGCCTTACTTTCTTTTGGAAGGTTTCTGTATGCAATGCAGGACAGCGAATGCATGGCGACTGAAGTGTCGACACTTAGAAGTAAACAAAGTAAAATACATGTGTATCTCCCTCTTCATTACGCATTTGGTACAAATGGAAGACTAGTGGGTGTTGTACAATGAAAACAATTTCTATGACTCTCAGATTTGGCAATCAGCATCTACTGCTCGATACTTTTTAGTAAAACTCAACATAATTCTCAATACTGAAGCTAAACAAATGAACTAACTTTAGTACTTTACCTCCATAAAATATACATCTCCAATAATACTGCTGCCACAATGAACTACAAATGTTTTCTTCGTCATCAAACGGCTGCAATCTGGTCGTAAGTCCACGTCATTGCCTCGCTGTGAAAGAAAAGAAGTAAATATAAACTTTTTTCACCCTTATCAATCTGTTTCGATTAAAAAGCACATTAGCATTTTAATTTGGCTAATGCGGGAAGATTTCAATCCTCAGTTGCGGCAAAACCCATATTAAACGGTAAGTACCTGGAACGAGCACGTTTTCTGAAACAAAGTGATCAGTGTTTACGATTCTTTGTTTAGAAATATGATCTCTATATTTTATTGTCATAATCAACCAATCACAAAGCCTGTTCAAATAAGTATAAGGACCGACCCATATTAAATCTGGCTAAATGCATCATTGTATATTTGGAGATACCACATTGTTGTAATTTCTAAAGGCCGATTTACACTGCCCAACTTTTTCCTAAAACTGTCGCATGCATGCAACCTGCTTACAACTTGAGTTGTACTGTGTAAATCAAGCACACAACTTGCCTACGTTGCAGTACGTGAATTGCGTGCGTGATTTACAAAGTACAACTCAAGTTGTAAGCAGATTGCATGCATGCGACAGTTTTAGGCAAAAGTTGGGCAGTGTAAATTGGCCTTTAAACTGTAAATTACGCACACACCACACCCCGAAATTTCAGGTGTAAGCAGTTCAAAATACCATGCTTCACAATACGATAAAACTAAATCAATAATAATAATAAACAACAGCTGTTCTGGAAGTATTTATGAAACAATACTCGTGTGTCATTTCCGAGCCAAAGACGCCAAGCACAGGGCAAGAGTAGTACCGAGTATTTTCCTTCGGTTAATTCCTCATTGAAAAAGTGCAATGCGAGATATGGTGACTTATTGTTCTGCTGGAGCATTCTCATGGAAAATTGGGCAAATTTTCGGAGCAATTTGAAGGGACTGAGGAAGAGTGAGATCAAAACTCATTTGAGCCTGGCTTTGAAATCACGGGCTGTCACCACTGATCGCAGTAATATAGCGGATTGTCTGGAATGAAAAGAGTCATGAAACAACTTCCCCCACTTTAATAATCAAAGCGGAAAAGGTCGTTTTACAGCTCCATTCACCCTTCTGGAAGGTTTCCTGTCTTTGCTGATAGTGCTGCAACAATAACCACTTCCTCATTTAGACAGTGTGCCTATCGATGTCTCTTCAGGTTTTCAGGCGTTTCGGACGTTCTGTTGGTCACATGTCTTCCCCAAAGCCTTCTCACAAATGTTGCCGATAGTCGGTGCTTTCGCAGTGCCATTCTCTCGGACAGTACATTTCTTATTCCCCCTTCAATAATCACTAACAATGATTCACGAGGGCGTTGACTAACTTTCAGTACACCATGTACTAGCATAGAGAATACACGATGTATTTCCCTAACCCTTAGCCTAATTCCATATTCATCGTGACGACATTGTGGAATAGAACATTGAACATTGAACATTGAACATTTATTTAAACACGGTAAAATCTTCAGTGTAGAATAAAATACAAAAACTATTAATAAATTTCACACATCACTATATACACACAAATTTCCTAACTAAAATGCACTGTTTTCCAAGATTGCCGTGTGGGGATCCCATTATAATGTCAAGAATTGATTAATTTCATTTTTGAAATGCCTCAATGATTTGGACGTACGTGCAGTTTGAGGAAGCGCATTCCATAAACTTGCTCCACTGTAGCAGAAACTACACTTCATAAAGTCCGTACGTGGTTTTGGTAAATTTAGCTTCATTTCTGCATTTCTTAAGTTATAATCTGTGCTGCGAAATGTAAACATGTTTTGTAAATACTCTGGCGTTAGCTTATTGATAGTTTTAAACATTAGTATAGACTTGTGCTTTTTCCTACGTAAGGAAAGATTGTCCCAATGCAGTTTCTCTAAGAGAATGCTAGAGCTGACATCGTAGTTGGATTTCGTAATCACTCTAGCAGCTCTATTCTGCAATTTTTGCATTTTTTCACATAATGTTGCGCCAAATTCGTCCCAAATGGGACTACAGTAATCAAAGTGAGGTTGAATTATAGCGTTGTAAATTTGGATTGCTGTTTCAGTTGATATAAATGGTTTTATTCGCTTAAGAGCACCTATAGCGGAAGAAATCTTTTTACACTTCATATCAATGTGTTTAGACCAAGACAGATTTTTATCAATAATTACACCTAGTGATTTTGCCTCATCAACTTGTTTAATCACATGACCATCCAGGTCAATATTGATATTTTCGTTAGTGTGCGCATGCATACGTTGTCGAGATCCTATTATCATAAATTCTGTCTTGGCGATATTAAGGCTTAATTTGTTCGCTTCCAACCAGCTTTTCAATTTTTTTAATTCCGAAGTAATAACATTTTCTAGTTCGGCGATAGTGTTGGCCGCATAACTAATGTTCGTATCATCAGCAAACATTCTCGGTACTGCTGCACTGAGACAATTAGGAAGGTCATTAATATACACAAGGAAGAGTAATGGTCCTAAGTTACTTCCCTGTGGTACACCACGTGTAACTGATGCAGATGATGACAAGCAACCTCTAACATTACATTTATAATACGGAAGGTCACCCATTTAGAATACGGAAGGTCACCCTTCTTTTAGCATCCTGTTTAGATGGTAATCTATGACCGCTGTGCATGGTGTCAACTTGGAGAAGACTAGAGAAGTTCTGAGTTGGTGAACAGTTCTTCGTCTTTTTATCGTATCATTTTTTCCCGATTAAATAACTGGGATAGATTTCAGAGATCGGAACACACTGAGCCAATCAGTCAATTGAAAATATTGATTTCAATGTGATCGTCATTTACACCAGAGCAGATATAATAAACAAAAAGATTCTACAACTAAGTCTACATGAGTCTCTTTAACATATTAGCTAAATTAATACATGGATTTTAAATAAGTGTCACTACAGGTAATTGCTCTAAAACAGTTATCCAAGGCATTCCACAGTCGGCCGCGGTAAGATATGAAAGTTTTTATTAGCATCCAAGTCATTTTCTTCTATACTGACATGTATATTTATGGATAAAACGCAAGTAACACATTTTGGGCGTTTTTGGTAACAAAATCATGTTAACCTTATTGGGTAAAATTTAAAAATGCCGTGACTGGGGAATAAGTTGGTCAACATGCTTGGTTCTCCAGTTATACAATAAATAACATTGCAATGTTCAAGTTACTAAAAGTCATTGATCATTTGTTCAACCCTGCAGAGATATCGGGCTCTGATGATACATTTCAATGCGTTGTTGAACCAACATGGCAGAACTTTTCAATATATTTTAACCGGGAAGCTTCATATTCTGAGATTCAACCAAAAATTTTTGCAAGCTTCTCAAAAGCAAACAAGTTGACAATCATGAAATTAAGCTCTTTGTATGGCGATATTTTTATATATATTTTCAGTTTGTGGAAAACACCACGTATATTTATGATTCAGGCTTACTGATCGACAGCCTTTCAATAATATATATAACGTGTTGTTTTCCGCACACCAAAAACATATATCAGTACGATAATTGTTGGTCAGCAGTATGGAAGCCGAGAGACCTCCGTTATCTGTATACAGCGGTTCTCTGATAACCAAACCGTTTTGTTCTATAGCACTATAGAATACTTTGTTTGGTACATCTGCATGTGAGTACGGTAAACACATCTGTCATCCGTTTTTCCAAGCTAAAAAGCGATTTTAGTAACTCTCTCGCGGGTTCTGTCTCGTATGCAGACGCTGTACAATAACAAACATAAGCTCAACCATGAGTGTGCGAAGCGTGAAGGAGCTGTTGGAAAGACAAGTTCGAGTATTCGTGTACCAGTCGTAGTTGTTCATAAGCTACATAAAGCAAGGCTTAATCTAGTACGGGTGCCTGAATAGAAACGGCCTTAAATGTTACGCTTCAAAAACTATGAACTTCCGTTATCAGGAATCTCTAGCAAGAAGGACGCAAATGCAACGACCACTACGGCTACTAAAATAGTAGAAAGGAAATTATTAATTAAAATCTCATGGGGGTTTTAGACATCATTCCCGTTCCGTTTACAACGGCAAATGACAGATTATCACGCATTTTGTACAACAACTGCGACATGCAACAACTGCTATTTCCTAGAACTATTCTAAATGATAAAGTCGTGTCTTGACCTCGATCTTTAAGATGTTCTAATTCAATACTAAATATAATAAATGACACGCTTCCCTTACAATCACCCATTACAACGAGTTCGTTTGCCCTCGTTGTAGCGTTGCCGTCCTACATGCTTAAGGTCCCTGTGAGTTTCATGGCAACCGCGTACGGCAGAAAACAAAACTACTTAATACATTTTGTATGCGAGCGAAAGCATACATTACTAAACTTTATTAGTATAGGTAATCATGCGATGTTGCTCGTACAATTAGGGATTAATAGTACCCGTGATGTTTGGAAATTTTGCCAAAATTGGACGAGCCGCCGTACTTGTTTATTATTAGCATGACAAAATTGGACACGTACTTCTCAATGTCAACATCATATTCTCTCGCCAAAGCCCAGTTCTGCCAGACTTTCAACCAAAATTTGGTGCTTTTGTTTGTATTTTCATTTAGTTCTTTTGTTCAAGTAAAAGTTGGTGCTTTTGTTCGTATTTTCATCTAGTTCCTTCACGGCAATTTCATTTCGCAATTGTGTTTAAAATACCTTTCCGCCATTTTGTTTGTTTTGGGAAAATCATTAATTGTACTGCAGTACAATTAATGAAATAATTGTACTCCTCTCAACCAATCAGCATCCAGTAATTTTGTCATGCTAATAATAAGTCTCTTTTCAATAACACTTAAATGCAGCAATAGTCAGTGATTTCACATAAAACACTCCAAACAACATCGAACATTTAACTGTTGGCGTGGGTAAGAGTCGTGAAAATGATGTAAATACGGTAGTTGTTTGAACAACTATACGGAATGCCCAAGGGAATGCAAACTATAGTCGCGGTTTACACCATCAAAGTTTCCGTCATCACAGTAGGGATTTTGAAGGATTTGTAAGAAATGGTTGAGGGAATTGACTCGGTGTTAAACACTGAGTCAGTTCTCTCAAACATTTCTTACAAATCCTTCAAAACTTATAATTTACCTATGCAAAATTCCTACTGTGATCACAGAAACATTAACAGTGTAAACCAGCTTTAAAAATGGCATTGTTGATGAGCATGTCTTCATTGACGGCGCCGTTATATTTGCCAAACTCATGCGCTGTTGTGCCTGGGTACGGAGCAGCTTCCGACAGAAAAGGTGTACAGTATATGTAAGAAAATAATCATAACTTACAACGTAGTCCAATTTCGCTAAGAGTTGACCGATAAACTGACTTTGGCTCATACCAATGTGAGCTTTGCCAATAATTCGCCGTACTTTCTTCTTCATCTCCATTTTCTCAACTTTCAGATGAATCATGAACGCAGTGATGTTAAATAGAGTGGCTCCAAGGACTTTATCTTCATCTTCTTCTAAACGTTTTTGTTCAAGATGGCCAAGAGATCGATATCTGTAAAACACGAGAGTCAAATAATGTGGAGCCATGCAGCGATCTCAGCAATCGCCACAAGTTGCTCACAAGTGTGGATATTATATACTAAACTAAACTAAACTACTGTAACGTTAGAAATAATAGATCAGCTGTGTTTAACATCCTACAGTATCTCCAGAGCTCTGGTACAGATTAAGTATATACAGATGTGTAACTTCAGTAAAGAAGTTGTCCCACGGTCGCCATCTTCCTAGCAAGTGTCGCTCGCGTGATAATTGGTCATGAAGTGTCATGACGTGTACAGCTTAGGGAGATTTGAGGACACGAAGTCCTACACGCGTAAAAATTGAGAAAATCAACAAATTGTTCCAGGTTGATATCAACAGGTGTGAACAAGGTTGCGCGGCCCACTATGAACAGTATTGTCAACATGTTGTTACAGTATTGTTCAACTGTAACAACTTGGAACATGGTTGACAACTTGTTCATAGTCGGCCGCACAACATTGTTCACGCCTGTCGATATCAACTTGGAACAACTTGTGCGTTTTTAGCCGTGTATGAAGTTACACATCCTGCATGTACTAAATATGTGGCTCTGGTAAGGACCATCGCTTAGTCGTCCTATGCTACTGCAAGAGAAAACCTAGACTAAACTATTATAAGTATACTAACTTTATTTATACTGGATATAGTATACAGTACCATACAGTAAGTTTTCGTCCTGGAGACACATTCCTACGCATTAAATCGTAATTTATATTTACTCGAACGGTCTGTGCCAGCGTAGGGAAATATGATATTAGGGAGTTTACGATCTACGACGCGGCCGACTCGACGACGCGCTTTCAAAGCAAAGAAATTAGGTGTTTCCACAAACAATAGTATTATGTGTTTTATCGCCATGTAAACCTACAAAGAACTTACAAAGAAATTTGTCATGCAAGACAAAAACTGTCAATAATTTGTGATCCCATGAGTATATTGTCAACCGCGTTGTCATTCTCAACACAACGTTAAAAAAGCATTATTACGTCTTTCAGGCAACGCGAAAGTTTAATGCTACACAAGAGGTGTTACTAAAAGTCGAAATTACAGCAAACATTGCATCGCTTTAGCCGAACGTAGCATTTTGTAAGGTTATGTGAAAGAGTCAAATATTTATTACAGTAATCGAATTGCTTAGTGCTCATTCTTGAGCTAAAATTTAGACCGCGTCGTTGAACCGGCCGCGTCGTAGATCGTAAACTCCCTAATAAGATAACTGCGGATTGTGAGAGATACATGCAACTACCCGAAATACAAGCAGAACTGCGACGTTTCGAGCAAAGACGCTTCGTCGGGAAGTTAGTAGCGATAGTAACGATAGTAGCTACTAACTTCCCGACGAATGGACCATTTGTATTATAGACTAAATTTTAATCTAGACAAAATTTTCATCACAGCTTGAAAGAGCATCACAAAATTAGTAATATTCCAAAGTTTCGTTGCGAAATGTTGTAAAATGCGGATAATATAGCCTTGCGAAGTTTGCCGTTTTTCAGTCATTTTGCATTACGCACGGGAAATTGATGCCCCAACACCCGATTGGACTGTCAATTTCCCCCGCGTAATACAAAATGACTGAAAAACGGCAAACTTCGCAAGGCTATATTATCCGCATTTTACAACATTTCGCAACGATACTTTGGAATATTACTAACTTTGTGATGCTCTTTCAAGCTGTGATGAAATTTTTGTCTAGACTTGTCTAGATCAAAATTTAGTCTATAATGCAAATGGTCCATTAATGACTTTCGCTCGAAAAGTCGAAGTTCTGCATTGTTTGCAAAGACGTAATTTTGGTATTTCAGTTGACGGGCCATACTTAGTATAAGAAAAAACGGCTATTTTACTGTATTGATCGAGTTTAGAGACAGTTTAATTAAGACTCAAAAGATGAATTACCGTTCAGTTTTTCTTGCTACAACCATTCTGATAGGAGAAAAATCATCCACAAGTTGTTTGATTGCCCGTCATTTGGATGAAAAGTCACGTGATTGCAAACAAAGAATAGTATCCCTCGCAATCTGCAATTGTCTTATAATCTATATATTTATACTCTCGACCAGCTCCAAACTGTTCTTCTTAGAGGTTAAGAAAAGACTACTTACTGAGGTATACGGTATATTATCCAGTAAAAACTTGCTATACAGTATATTATCCAGTATAGATAAAGTCACTACAGTGACTTTATCTATAATGGATAATATGCCATATAGTAAGTTTTCTTCCTAAATGTGAACGATGTACAAGGACAAACACTGGGAAAAAATGTGAAATCCATACTATGAGATTTGCAATTGCAAGTCCACAGTATATCCTCTTATTTCGATACTATATCCATAGTATGGAAATATACAATTATTATGGATAATCAAAAATCCATTTCATTTCCAATAAAGGTCCATACAATTTCCATTCTATGGATTTTCAAAATTTTTTCCAGTGAAAATAAACTGGATGCATGTACATTTGTAATAACTCCACCAGCTCTAAACAGTTCTTCTTAAAGTTTAGGAAAGGGCCACTACAATACACAGTTAATTAATAACCCTTACCGTTCAATCATTTCGCCATGGTTTTGATTCATGCCCAGTGCATCACGTTCAGCTGAGACGACATCCATAAATAAATACTCCCAAAACTCCATATTATCCCATAACGAAGATCGCTCTCCTATTAAACCTTGAAACAAATATTTCCTCCCAGTACTCGATGATGCTTTCATATCTTCACTGACATCAATCAATTCACCATTACAATACCTATATCCTTCACTCAAGTCACTTTTCCTAGCAAGGAAATCAACATTAGGTAGACACGCTCCTGCATTCATCGAGCTATTCACTGAAGTCATTTTCATATGAGCCAGTCTCGGACTTCCGACCGGGGTTGTTCTGGATATGCCCCCGTTCGTTGTGGGAACTGATAGATTTGTTTCCACATTTGATAAAGCTCGAGTTAAGGTGTTCTTAAGTTCCGAAGCGGCTATTCTAGTGTTCACATCTGTAACGTCGCTATTACTTCGTGCAAGTTGAAGATGGCGGTACGTTTTCTCTTCAAACGTCTTTGAAAACATTGGCACCATTACAGAATCAATATCTGCACCATAGACATCACTGGCGTCACAATGGCCACTGTCTTGTTCACTGTCACTGATCACCAGCGTTGAGCGATCTACAAGAAAAGGAAATATTGATGTTGTTAAGATGAACAGAGCTACGATTAACATTAACATTTCTACAGCGCAAATTACCATGTGAATATGATCAAATGCCCTTTATACATCAAGTACTACACTTACAGTACCAGTAATTACATACTAAGCCTAGACTATAATCACTATATTATCGTTATAACAATAGACCTTTCCCCTTTTAAGTGAAATTTTGATATAGACTAGCCTGGACAAAAATTTCATTACAGCTTGAAAGAGTATCACAAAATTAGTAATATTCCGAACTTTCGTTGCGAAATGTTGTAAAATGCGGCCAATATAGCCTTGGGAAGTTTGCCGTTTTTCAGTCATTTTGCATTACAAACGGAAAATTGATAATCAGTTTGATCATCTGATTATCAATTTCCCATTTGTAATCAAAATGACTGAAAAACGGCAAACTTCGCAAGGCTATGTTATCCGCATTTTACAACATTTTGCAACGAAACTTCGGAATATTACTAATTTTGTGATGCTCTTTCAAGCTGTGATGAAATTTTTGTCCAGACTTGTCTAGATCAAAATCTCACTTAAAAGGGGAAAGGTCTATTGCAAAACTACTTTCTTAACTGAGTTTATCCTAACCCACCCTGTCAACTTTCCCTGCAGGAGGAAAGCAGAGTACCCGGTGAAAACACACGACTTTCAGCACAGCGTTGACCGACTCTTTTCACACGAGTCCGTAGCGAGAATCGAACCAACGATCTCAAAGCCGCTTACTCTAACGACTGCGCCAACGAAGCCCACTGAAGAGCTCATCGGGGAACGCGTGTTTATGTCTGTCGGCCCTTGAATATTGGAATATCGGTAAATTTCCACTAGGCCAAAAAAAAATATGTGGGTTTCCGGTTTCTTCTTATAAAAACTTAGGTAGGGTAGGTCGGTTTTAACTTTTTTTTAAAATTTTTTTTTAATTTTCCGAACAAGCGGACGCCATTTTGTTTAGTCAGTGCTTCCACATCCAAAGATAAATTTCCCTAATATTGTCTCAAATTTCAATTTTCCACAAACTTTTTCCTCTAAGTGGAAACACTTACAAGTATGATCCAATAAAAAAGTTTAGGGTCGGGATTTCAACGTCCAAAAGCTAGGTAGGGTCGGGAAACCGGAAACCCACATATATTTTTTTTGGCCCTACTATTAACTCACATTTAAATGATTAAAATGCATATTACCACACAATGAGAACAATAATAACTGTTTTGTGTGAACGCTATCGTCCCTCGTGATCGCGGACATATTTAGTATTCTATATGCAGTACACCTACCTCCACTCTCATTGGCTGAAACAGTCGTATCTGAAGTATCTGATAGGTTTGAGATACTTTCCGCGGGAGATACTGATAGTCGTGAATTGTCGTCGTTCTCTGCCTCCACTCTCTTGATCTCACGACCATAATAATGTGTATGTGCAATCCGGAGGAAATGATACGCTGACGTCACTCGACCCAGGCCATAATTTGACGCACTTATTTCTAAACCAACTACCACACTGCGAAGAATTTCTAACATACCTCTCAACACGCTTTTGCTGACACGCTAAACGATTTAACGAAAAACATATACTTTAGACTAAATATTCCAAGTCATATTATTGCTACTTTGCAATGAAACAAAACGATAGCACAAATTATACTCAATTTAGAGCACTTCGTCAACAAAATTTTAGATCAGGGGTGATGGATGATGTATTTTTAGTTATGCTAAATGTACAACCAAATCCCCGAAAACACTGACAGGATTGGTATATCTGTGAGTATGGTTGCGAAGAGTAGACAAGCGTTTTCAAAAAATCCTGCATATTCTGTACATACACTATGTTCTGCGCACTAGACAGTCGACTCAATCTTAAAATCAGTTAAACGACATTGGCAGTAAAAATATAATTTGTCTCCTGTGAAAAGACTTTAGATTGAAGACTTTTACACTCAGCTTTTTCGTATATTGTATTGCTTGATTCTTGAAATATTTTGACTGAAAACAGTGGACTGTCCGCCATCTTGGATTATTCAAATACGCATGTTACGTCACAAGTGGGACACCCAAATTTTCTATCTCGCTAGCCAGTGATGACCAAAGCTCGTTTCTACTTGCTATTTCAAATTTCGAATTGAATAGAAACATTTTAAACAACTTTTGACGTCATCAAAACTTACGAATGAATCCAAATATACCAATAGTTAAGCTTCATATAAAAAAATTGCACAAGATTTCATTGATAATTGTAGACACTCTTCTAAATGAGACGTTCCAATGTAGGACAGAGTACTTATGGGAGAAAACACTGAAGATGAGAAATTACATTTGAATAACAGTAATCCAATCGTACAAACAGTTGACAGCTTTTGGATACTTATTTCTTATTGCATATGCAATGCACAGTAGTAAAATCTGGCAAAGCTGTCAGTTCCTCATCATCATCAGTGCAATCAGACCGAATAACAAGATGGGCTGACTGCTTGTATTGACCACATGATATTACGATACGATGAAGTCATGGTCCATGCCTCCAACTATGATGTAGGTTCAGCCTCAAACATTGTACGAATTATATATCTGCCACCCCTTGGAGTTGAAAAAACTCCCATTGGGAGTTGAAAAAACTCCCACCTGGGAGTTGAAAAAACTCCCATTAGCAACATTTAAAATCAAATTAAAAGAGTTCTTACTAAATCGATATTTTGAAACTTGAATATTTATAGTATATATAAACACTAGTTTAACATGCATGCAAGCTTATTCTTATTGAAATTTATTTTATTGCGCTACATTTAAACGTTTTATAAATTCGTTTTGTAATTATATTTATAAACTAATTAATCTGTCAAAAGTATCACTTGTAAATAATTATCGAAAAGCCCTGCGGGGAATACTTCCAATAATAATAATAATAATTTATCCTCAGGCAATGAATGTCGACTGCTCAGCCCCCTTGTTAGATGCTCAGGGGGCTGAGTCCCCCTTGTTAAAAGTTTCATGCAGATTTGACGGGCTGACTTCCCAATATTTTCGCAGATTGCATTTTCATAACCTGGAAAGTTCTTTGCAACTGTAGTGTTGAAATGATGCGGTAATGTCAATAATTCGCACTTGATTACAATGATCATACTATTAGGTCATGTACACTGTATGTGGCTCCAACATGAAATAGCTTCGGTATATCGGAATCTTTCTTTTGAAATTAAGTCCTTTCTTAAAAAAGCACCAATTGAAGAAATACTAGAACCAGAAATAAATACTGAAACTTTCCATGTGTATCATGTTGCACCCTCCATGCACTGTCTCCCTCACGTCACGTTTAAGGTTATTAAAGTCTTACCACATCACACACAACATCAGATTTCTTATCATCTGAAATCTCCAATAGAAATCTATTCGCAACTTTCTGCCTGCACGTTTCTTTCGCCATGAGATCACGTAAACGTTTCTTCTTAAATATTCCAACACCATTTGCGTTCAATACTGATGCGACAACCTCGTGAAGAAATTGTTGGTCCTCTCTAAGGGAGAAATTAGAGCATAAATATTAATAAAAAATGTACATGTGTACGTAATAGGCTGGCTTCGAGTGCAATTTGGATAAAACACGCACGAGTGAGTTTTTCAAAGAGCATCAAATGAACTGATGGGTAAAAAATAAACCTCCCCCCTCCGTAAAATACGCTAGACAGTTCTAGGGCGCAGTTTGTTTTCAGCCATAACTGGCCTGTATGAGTAACCGGTTAGCATGCATGAATTATCCTCGACCACTGAAAAGAAGTGAAAAAAAGTTGTGATCCATCAACGGCTCCAGGCCTCGATAACATTTTTTCGTGCCTGCGAGCGAAATTCAAAATGTGCCTGCAAAAGCACATCTTATTTAGACTTTGTGACCTAAATATTGTTAAAATGTCAGTATTTTAAAATGTGCCTGCAAAAATGTAAAAGATGCCTGCCAGCGGCGCTCGCGCACTTTATCGAGGCCTGAACGGCTCAATACAGCACATGTACTTTCTATTTATATTTTCAGGAGTTCCTATTACTGCGTGATCCTTGAATCATTTATTAATCCATACTGTTTAAGAACCTTTCAATTATTGAATGTACACAGTGTACACTGTTACGTACTGTAGTATTGATAAAGCGTTCTTCATACTGCACGCACGTGTATGCACCTTTCTAAATGATTTAATGTCTGATAAAATACTTAAAATATAGTTTAGAAAGTTTACTTTTTCGTGCGCATAATGACGTGAAGAAAAGTTTCTGTGATCAGAGTAGGAATGTTGCATGCATACATATTAGGTAATTTCTAAGTTTAGAACAACTTGTTAGAAATTGAGGGAACTGAATCAAACAAAACCAAACAGCCAAAACAGTTATTCTACTTGCATGTGATAATAACTGCTGTCGCATCATATTGTCAATAAAGATACAGATGTTCAAACTTGTGCACAGTGAAGACAATGTATTTTAGGCATCTCGTCGAGTCACTCAATTATAATGTATAAATGCTTTAGCGTTTGCCATAATGTCAGTTGACTATGGCGACATGAAATCTGTTCCGTAGTGCTGTGCAAACTCCGGGTTTCTCACCTCTAGCCAAAAAAACTCCGGCTCCGGGGAAAAACTCCAGCTAAGGCAGAAAATTTCCAGCTCCAGCAAATTCGCAAAAACTCGAAATTTAATGAAATTTCACATTTCAAAATGGAAGCAAGCACTATGTTTGTTTTTGATTTTAACACTTCGCATGAACATTTCGTAGTATGCATGATACACGGTATTGGTTGCGGAAGACAACAGGATACTATATTTACATGTTTGTGGCAAGCCTACGCAGTGTCAATGCGTGTATTTACTTTTTCGTTGATGGTTTCAGGTTTTTTCGCCGATGTCCGACAGTAGTTTGCAGCACAAATAAGTGCTGCTAGAGTTGAACAAACTCTGGCTCCGGCAAAATAAGCCAAAACTCCGGCTCCAGCCCTCCGGCGCACAGTACTACAGTTCCGCACGGCAAATTCCGGATTTCGGCAATATTCACTACTGGTTATTATAAAATACACCATCATACTACCTTGATATTGGTTTTCCTTCCTTGCTGAATGGTTTAAATAGAGAGTTTGCTTGTAAACTGGCTAGCTTCGCATCCATTGTATGTGATCTTGTGGACGTCGCTGATCCTTAAGACAGAATAAGCAGTAGTAAATGTACAGTACATTCAGAGTCCAAATTAGAGGTCGAGAAATAAAAACATTTAACAAGGTGATATAAGACCATAAAATATATATAGAGGATATTACACGACGGCGCGAAGATACGACTTTTATCTTCGAGTGGTGAAAACAATATTTTACGAACGAGCGCAACGAGCAATATTGTTTTTAACACGAGAAGATAAAAGTCATATCTTCAAGCCACCGTGTAATGTTCTGTTTATTATATAGTCCCAAGCAAGAGAGCCTGGAGACGAGGTTGCCTTTCATTCCTATTAAGATTATTGATCCTATGGCATGCATATACACTGTTGAATTACAAGGATTGAAAATTTCAATGTTTACAGTCTTCTGTACAAGCAAGTTAAAGCGTGGTGAAACGAGAATGAGAGGTAATGAAAGTTGACAATCACGCATTCTTTATGCAGAGGACATTTGAAGCTCTAGATTAGCAAAATAAAGGTTTGATGAGCGTACTATCTCATAACTTAAATAAAATACATGGTTGTTGATGGATTTTGTGTGTGTTGGTGTTATGTACTCAGGTGAATAATTATGATGTTTGTGATGTTACTCTGAGTCACTGAGTGTGCGTCCACACCGGGGCAAGCTGTCAGGCAAACGTTTCAGCTTTCCCGGTATGGATGCACACTCAGGGCCTGTTTATATGGAGGCGAGTTACTCGGCAAGGCGAGTTACTCGCCCAGGCGGGACAAACAAGCTCTCTGTTTATATGGAGTCGAGTTACTCGGCATTTGTCGCATGATTGCCACATGACGCAGAAATTGCGCCAAAACACAAAAAGGATTTAAGTCGTTTGAAACGTTAACAAAACATTACCAAATGTCGTCAAAATACCAGAATAAGCGCCGAGCAATTCAGGAAAACTTATCTATCGATTCGTATGTATTTTTCAGCTATTATATTTCAAATGCAAAGCACATACATTCTATCTCGGGCGGCTGAGTTACCTGGGCAAAGTGTTTACATGGAAAATATTCATCTGGCCTAGGCGATATCCCGCCTCTTTCTGCCGGGAACTCGCCAAGGCAAGTTACTCGGCTGCATCATGTAAACAGTCACCCGGGATTACTATTAGTTTCTATAATACCTGGGATCTCGCCGTTGCCGAGTAACTCGCCTTGCAGGGTAACTCGCCTCCATATAAACAGGCCCTCAGAGTAACAACATAAGCTAACCAAGGTCGCGTGACTGTCAAGCACTCTCAGACCATGTACTCTAAGGACAGTGTTCTATGTATAAAGGCCGCGGGTCTATATCCCCGGAGATATGGGAGGACATAACAAGAATAAGAAAATATAAAAATATCCTTACTACTTGAAATAGAACTATTCGCAACTGAACTGGAATGATTGGAATGATTGTCGTATTTGCCAACTCCATTCACTAAAATAAAATGTAAGATATGCGTTTAAAAACGTAGAATACTGCACGAATGATTGTATCACAAGTAAAATCTCATTTTTGTTGTGTTAAGATCAGACACACTAGGCATACTACTGCTACGGTGGAAGGGCCAGCTTGGGGCTTATCCCAATCTGTCAACCTTCACTGTAGCGTTTTTCACACAATGTATAAGTTTAAATCTTTCTACATTTTATACCTTAACAAAATAACAACTAAATTTATAGAGAAAACTAAATTCTATCCTTTTATTGATTGAAATAGTTATTTCACTGTCTGGTAAAATTTTAAAGGATTTGAACATTTTCTTGTACATGCGCGTACTGTACTGTATGAAAAACGCGTAACTAGACAGCAGCCTTAAACGAGAAACCCCGAGAAATGTTTAATGTACAGTAGACATATTGTACGTACCCTCTGAGTTAGTCTGTCCAGTCATATCTGACTTGGCGACAGGATCACTGACAACACTTGATCCAGAGTTGGACGACTCACGACGGTTACCTAGTACCGGCGATGGTGGATTGGAAACAGAGTAAACAATATCATCAACAAAATCTTCATCCTCTTCTAGTGAATATGCCTGCTTTCCCCTACACAACACGATAACAATGTTATTACAGCAAGTCACAAAATATACGCTAAAACGTAGTTGGCAATAATACTGTAAGACAAAACATTAAGAAATATTGATATTTGCTGTGTTGGTGTAAAGTACTCAGGTGAATAAGATGCTTGTGTGATGTTACTCTGAGTGTGGATATACACTCAGAGTAACATCACACAAGCATATTAAGAAATATTACTAACTAAGACGCTATTCCTATGTAGACCCGTGTCAGTTTGTAGGAGTGGTTGTCGCCCACTTTAATTACGTGTTGCACAAGTAGTCTGTAGTCTCTAACTGGCACTTCGCAAAAACTGGCGGTGTTAATTTACTGCAGGTTCATCCAAGGCATGCATCTTATTCCGATCGTTTTGATGCTGTAAATTCCAGCCCTAAACCTTCTTTAGTTCAATTTACCAGAGCTGGCATGGTCGAGAAATATTTGTTGAAGTGTACAGGGTATTCACTTAGTTCACGACAAACTCCACCTTTCGTAGAATTGACAAAAAATACTGATAGAGTGTGGTGGACACAGTGGCGGACACTTCACGAAACATACGGGGGGAGGGCAGTTTACGGTGCCAACATATGACCACCTATTGTAGCTGAAAATTTTAGCTCCAATATTATATACAGTAGCTTAATTTATAGCCAACGAAATGAAAGCTTTCATGGTTGAAAAATTATTTTTACAGCTCTGTTACACAGGATTTCAGCTGTCATTCAAATGCTTTTAGAAATTATTCGCGGGGTTACTCAGGCTATGACAGAACAGATGATGGCAGCCTCACTAAATCTAAACACGGCATGGTACTTATAGGGTTTTTTTGGTAACCGCTATACCTGGGAGGAATACGCCGGGTAGGAATTTCGAAACATATTTCTTCATTATGATTAACTTAAAAAAAATTGCAATTGTTCTACATTTATGAGAATCGTACCTTTCTTCATTGGTCCAATAATTAGCAACATTCTGAAGCTTCGCCATGCAGTTGGGTGTGGGAGAGGCAGCGTCAGGCGGAGTGAAAGGTGGTTTAAATGATCCTGAAGAAGTCTCACCATGAATATCTCCACGGAACATCTCAGCAACTGTATCGCTGACTGAAGAATAACAGCTACTACTGTCATCATCTTCAACACTACACGTCCGAGGTCTTTCAGAATCATCACTTTCATAGATATCGTTAAACAGTTCTGTTTCATATTCACTCCATTCCTGGTTGCAGAGTTTCGAGTCTGGGTCGAATGCCTTGAAATTTAATTTATCCAGTTTATAGTTGTACCAACGTGGTTTGTCACCGACCAAATGTGGATCAGTTATACCTAGAAATGCAACAATCCACTCCGTCATACTGTATCTCCTGTGGTCTATCTACAAAATGCATTATGCTGGTGCGATAATTCGCGTACTTACGTACCAGAGGTACATGGTACGGCAATATTACGCTTTGGTACTTTTCTGTTTTCAACCAAGTACCAAGTACAGTAGGTTACGCGGAACTCTTGCTATTTTCGTGCTTACTTTTTGCTGGTACTACATGACCTTACAGGTATTTAATACCGTAGTTTAGTTGGTTTATCATGTGTATGAGATGTCTTGGCATGAAACATGATTTGACCTAAGGTACTAACAAACGTTGGAGTCGATTGTTTGAATGTATATTGCAATTGTGCAACCTCGTAGTCTGAACATACTTAGGCCTAAAAAAAAATACCTGTGGTTCCGGTTTCATATCGTGAAAAAATTAGGGTCGGTAGGTCGGAAATAAATCTTTTTGGAATTTTTTTCCATGGTTTTGGCGGTTTTTTGCTGGGCGATTTGCAGCAGAGTCCCAAGATCAATATTAACTAGAGATGCGTATTTCCTATGGACGAATTTAGGCAATTTGGTTCAATAATTAGTGTGACAACAGACGCCATTTTGACACACTGTATGAGCAGCCCGCAACCACCCGGAGAAAATAGGGTCGCACGGTCAATCGCGTTGAAAAAATAATAGGGTCGGCAGAAAAAAATAGGGTCGGTTGGGAACTGGAACCACAGGTATCTTTTTAGGCCTTATCAGAAGCCTGTACTTTATGAACCTTATTAAAGACTATAAGTACACAGTGAGTCTTAAATTTGTAGCAGCTCAAGTACGTGGCAATAACCATTCGACTAAAACTCGTGAATTATCGCACCCTGATTATTACTCGCTCGCTTGTTCAAAACAACAATACGGCCACATGGGTAAATTCTTAGTGTTACACAATGAATCAGTTTCCTCAAACATTTCTTACTAATATAATCCTTCAAAACTTGCAATTTCCCCGTGCAAAATTCCTGCGGTAATCAAAGAAACTTTGAGTATAAAGTGTAAATGAGCCTTTATACAAAGGCATGCATGCCTGTACAACGTACACAAAAATTAGTTACAGTAAATAGCCTTATGAGTGAGAGAGTGACCTCCGGATGAAAAAATGGTGGCAGATTTCGAAGTTCAATTAAAAATGAATAGTCTTACACGAATTTTTAACGGCGACAGAGTGTGCGCGACAACATTATAACATTTTCCAAAATTCGCACTTACCCATTTGTATTCTTGTATAAACAATATTTGTGGGGTAAACCAACCATTCAGCAAAATATTCAACATTCTAAAGCATTGAAACTAAGATGTAAAACCTGGCGGACGCAATATTTAGTGGGGTATGAATTTAGGTTTCCAGCGTATCACAGCTTTCCCTGGGTGCAGAGGATTTCTGGTGTCATTCTGCGCCTGAGTGCAGGCTACTTAACAGCTTGGGCGAAACCGCCTTTCTCTTGCTGCAAATTTTACTGCTTGATAATTCAAACTTGATTCAATAATTCAAAATCAGCTCAACGTTATACCGATAGAATTCGATACTGTATATTAATTGACCACTGCTAAAACTTTCTTTAACAAATCACTGAGGAAGAGCGGCTGAGAGAATATTTTGCATAATTTATATAACAAAACGTATTGCGAATAACTTGTTATTACAGGAGCGGTAATACAAATTGTTTTTCAAATATTTCGTTCTTGTTTTGTTACGTTTTATGCTAAAACAATTATTCACGTCAGTGTTGGTGAACAGTGCGAGGATATTCATCTCAACGCTTCGCGTCGGCCGCCAGTTTTTAAAATCGTTAAAACGTAAAAGAGTCAACAACCAGCCACTTGCAACAATACTAAACCTTACCCTCACCCTTATCCTTACCCTCACCCCACACCTAACCCCCCACACTAACCCTAATACTACAACGCAAACTCTTATTTCATTTTCGGAACCATCTAGGAAACTACCTCTCGTTCATCCCTTTTAGACATTAAGGCCCTGTCACACTATTGCGTATATATACAGTATATGAGAGAAACATATGAGAAGCGTAGCAAAATTAATGACAGAAATAATTTTCATACGCACAAAAATCCTTTGAAATGCCAGCGTATGAGTACCGTACATCTGGCGTAACCTCTAGCGTATTCAGCGTGTGCCTAGAGTATGCTTATCGTATAAACCATACTGTACGTCCAATACGCACAATATTTTTGAACATGCTTAAAATAATTTTCTGCCTCGCCGTATGCCAGCGTATGCCATCGTACGCGACCGTGCTTGAAACGGATACAACATATGCCTAACGTACCGCTAGCGTATGTCAGCGTATACCGGCGTATGAGTGATATTTTTCATACGTTGGCATACGCTAGTACGATACGCAATAGTGTGACAGGGCCTTCAGACAGGTTAAAATTGACGTTTACGGCAGACCGGTAACCGCAAACGAGAAACTTCAAGTGGAATTTGAAGGTAAGTTCTGCAAGGTTCCGAAGGTTTCGACAGGTTTTTAGTTAACTCATTCTTCAATTTTCCTAACTTTGAACAGCTTACAGTTGATGTCAAAATACGACTTGACGTTAGCGGTTAACGGTCTGCCGTAAACGTCATTGTTAACCTCTCTATTACCGTCTAACTAACCTGGGTCTCAACAAGTGCCATGACAAACTTGGAGACATTTGGTAAAGATTGAAGAAATGCATCTCTCCGAACTGCAACCACAGGTCTCGGAAACAGTCGTAACGTTCTCGTGTGCTCCTGAAGTCCACCAAGTACGTTTTGTGCTAAGAAAAATGACGTCATAGCCACGCGTACTGCTATATCGACAGCATCGACGTCATTGCCATACACGATATGATTACTGGTTAAACCAAGAGGAACTTTACTGAAGGAATCTGTGGAGCCATTACTTAATGAAAACTGACCATCGAGATTGGGGATAGTTTGAGGTGGAACGGATAGCGAGGCAAGAGCCTGATAAAAAAACAAACATGAAAAACAATTCTATTATTTTCATTTGCAAAACAGACTCAGAATCTTGAAGCGAGGAACGGAACTACATAGTTACCCTTTTGAGATTTCCTTTCAAAATGCTCGTTTCTGGCTCTGGTAAGCTTGGTAATTCATCTGCTTGAAATGGAACTGTTATCTGAGAGAATTTAATTACAGTATAACTTATTATGGAAATAGATCTTCACTAATTCAATGTACGTTTCCCTTCACTTCATACAAAATATTAATGTTTAGTAGGGTTAAAGGGAGAAAACTGAAAGAATCAAAATCACTGAAATTTTAATGCACTACAGGATCACGTTGTACACTAATAAATAACTTCAGTAAAGACTGCAGGACTTCAGTAAAGGCCCATCTCCATTCAGAAAAAAAATTTGTAAAATGTGATTGCCCAACATAAATTTTCTGTCGGAAAAGATTTTGAAGTTAAAAATTTTCAACTTAACAATGTTATTTTCGGAATATACTCAGTCCGTGGAAATTTTTCTTGAGTGAAAATGGGCCTCAAGTTAGAACATCAATGCCACAAAGCAAATTTTAATACTTCAATTTTTGTACCAGTGCAAAAGCATAAACTATCAACCGGGCCTGGTTGTTCAAAGCTGGGTTAGCTTAACCCTACGTTAACCTAAAATTCAAAGCAAACTTCCCAAGAGCTTGTCTATAAATTTGGAAATATTTCTTCAGAGATCTTGTCTGGATCAATAGGAGTTTACTTCTCTGAAGCTTTGAAATAAACAGACGTGCAAAAATACACAAACTAAAACAGCATGTTAAATTTTAACCAAGGGTTAGACAAGTTCATCTGATGTGAACGTACTATCACGGTGTATAGTACGATAGATCAAGATTATTAATTTATTGGACCTAACAGTAGCTATTGCGCCATACTTGTGCTATAAGTTAACTCATTACTCGATGTGTACAAATAGTCTTTAAAATAAAGTAAAGACAGTACAGGTTTCTGAAAGGTATTCAAACTAAGAGTTAAAATAAGGAGAACAATTGAATATAATTATAAACAAATTAAACCATACAGTATACGGCCACTTTACATTGGTTAGCATATTAACCTAATTCTTAAATAAATTGACAATTCATGGAGTGTGTGCATACCTTGTTCGAATCAAGATCAACAATCCACAAGTCATGTGGGTTACTGAAGTCGCTGTTCTTGTACTTGAAAAAACTTGCTGGGACGCCAATGATATAAGGAGTTGGAGCCAACAGAAGCTAAATAATGCATATATCTCATATCAATGACTTTCTTCATTAATTCATTTCGCTGTATTAATAAAGACAGTGCAAAGCTCGCAGTTAACCTTAGCCAGATTCTACACTGTATATCAGGAAATATTTCTTCCACATAGTGATTTTTTGTGAAAATTCTTGAAAGGATATAATTTAACTACGGATATCCACTGTCCGGAAAATTTGAAACACTTGCATACTGTGGAGATTTTGTCGAAATTAATACCTATTGTAAACAAAGATATAATTGGAAATTCAATTGATGAATCCCCTTATTACGTTTTCATAGCGCTTTGCATTGTGGTTATAGTGGTATCACTGATAAAGATAGTGGAATCAGTGAATATCAGTGATACCACTATAACCACAACACAAAGTGCTTTTACATTTTCTCTTAAAATCACCCAACTATTACACATACCATACCAAAAATCATATTTGGTGTTAGTCGCACTTGGTATAAAATTTTGGTTGCAATTTGCATCCAAAATCGAGCCAGGAAACAAAAAACTTTAAAAATCTTATGTTTTGTCATATGTGTTGAAGATTACCACAAACTGATGGATACAAACACAGTACTGTTTTGAATTAATCCAGTGCCTGTTGGCAATTTGCATCTGTGTTGACAAAAATGTTGTTTGCTTAAGCTTGCTAATAATTTTGTCAGAAAAACATGGCATGGCAAGAGGAAGCATCAGCAGTTTTGGTCGCTCCAGAAAATGGTTCGTTCCAGAAAATGGTTCGTTCCAGAAAAGATCCAGGCACATACCTCAATGGAGAAATTTATAATGCTGTCCGGAAGGGGAGGGGAGAAAAAATAGTTTCTGATAATACTGAGTGTATTAGGAGATCCAAAGGGGTGGGGAGGTTAACCACCAATTTACTCCATGGGGTGGTATGGATGTTTTCTGGAATGACCCAATAGATAGAATTCTACTGGACATGTACCTGTTCAGCATTGCTCATACAGCTAGGCAGTAAAGGTATAACAGGAAACATATACTCCAGAGGATACAATAAAGATGACATAGCCATGATTGTCATTGTCAGTGCATTGTAATCCCTGGACTGAAATACAATCTACAAGTATAAACGTTGAAGTCAATGTATCAGCACAGGCGACAGGCTTCAAACTAAATCTGAAAAATCTTTTACATGCACAAAAAACAAGTGTTAATTGGATGCACATAACAAAGTTTCCAGTCTGGCCATCAAGGCGAGAGAGCTGGCACTGAGAGAGATTAATGGGGTTACTTTATTTCTTTAAATTTGACTTTAACTCTAAATACCGGACTGGCAGACATTTAGTACATTTTGAAAAGTGACCAGCTGCCTATCAAATAGTCACAGGGTTTTTGTTAGAGCCCAGCAATGAAATGAATATAACTGGAACGCTACCTCCAACTGGAAATTTGAAGCCAAACCTGAAGGCCAGTCACAGTCTTTTCACGCAGGCAAAGAGCATCCAATCAGTCAATCATGATATAACCATGCGTGAACTTTCTTAGATTTGACTTCAAGAGAAAGATAGGCAGTTTATATGAAGGTATTCCAGTTATATTTATTTCAATGGGGCCTGGTGAACACACACACATACCTTTTGCTCCAATAAGATGCATGTTAAAACCTTGAGAAATGTCTCGACACCGAGTAACTCAAGCGGAAGATGGATTGGAAAGTCTACTAATGAAAATCTCTTAGCATCTGGGAATGCAAAACATATTGCTGGGTGTAATTCTTGGGGTAATAACTCCAGTTCAACTTCAGTCCTTCCTGGAATAGGAACAGGGGTCACGAGAAGACGATGAATCCAAGATTCAATTTCCCGCATATCTTCCTGTAATGGACTTAACTTGGGATCCTCGTTGCAAAGAAATAATGACCAACAATCTGAAGCCTGAGAAGTTTGTTTTGATGAAGAAGCGACATCATTATTTGCACCTCTAGATTCGATCATACGGCGTAATACAAACAAACATTCACGAAAGGAAGAGAATACCGGATGATGTGAGATGATACATATTGATGTCAGAGACATACACCGTGTTAAACCTTTACATTTTGAACCTTTTAAATCATTACTGTTGTCATCTTTAGCTTGGCTCTTTGGCTCTTTAAATTCTTTTGTTAAGGAAGCATAACAAGGACGAAAAAAATTCATACACACGCCATAGCGTGTCTTGCCTGATTCTTTGTCAGTCAACGTGAACACAAACGTTGTCGCTTGTCTCAGGGAGATTTTCTTCGTAACAGTACATGATCCTTCTGGTTGGCAAAAGAAAACAACATCAGGTGGAAAGTAAAAGTCGTTATAATCCTCAGTTGGGAACTTTCTCAAAGTTTCTGGAGTCTCAGTGAGACCAAGTGTTGGGTTCCGTACACCGACCACAACAACATAATCGATCAACCTTTTGCATAATTCCGGTTGATTTATATATTCTGCCATAATCAAGATTTTCTCCAACTAGGTTTCTCCTTCATAATGAACACAGTTGAAAAGGAATAATCATACTCAAACATCTATATAGACTTGTACTCAAACATTTTTCTTTCTATTTGTTATTGACCATCACCTGCCTATCGTTTTATACGTCACGAAATATTTTTCTCGCCAATAATTTCGCACCGTTTTTCCTTTTTCAAGGGAATTTCCTTAAACTGAGGAATCGCGGAAGGAATTTTAAGGTAAGCCGATGGGACAACCATAGATACAACCTCGTCCCCAGGGTCTTCTTCGTGCATGGCGCGTGAAAAATGAGAAGACCCTGGTAAAGGCTGTTCTAAACTGCGTTGTGATTGGTTTATACATTTGACCTTGAATGTGCTTTGAGGATGTTGTTATAATGAATATGATTGGTTTACCGCTAAATAATTCTTGTAATGAGCCCTACGATTGGTTGCATGATTTACAAGGATTTTCACAACAATAATTTGTTTGTAGTAAAATGCATGCTTCGCCAAGGCGCGAAGCTCGTTTCTGGCAAATATTTTCCAACTTTCAGCCTAATATCAGGCACAATATATAATGGAAATCGTAGTGTGAATATATACATCATTTTGGTACTTCAAAGTTGAGACAGCTTATGTTCACATCGTTATCGAAGGTATGAATATATACACACACTGTATGATCAAACAAACCACAGAACCATTTGCGTTTGTGACGTTTAGTTCCTCTCAAATACTACCACTTGTTTAACTAGTACGAAAACCTCTTGTCTGCTTCATGTGACAGTTTAATATCAGTCTCAGATGAATATGCATTTTTATAGCAGAAATAGAGGCACAGAACGATTGCTGTTTGTATAGCTTAATTGTTACATGTTTAAAAATTATAATAATAAAATAAGCAGTTCTTGCTGGGCTCATAGGACACCAGGAAATAATAAAAACGAATCTAAGATCCTATGCAATATTAAAATTTTGGTTATGTCAATAATTTGTGCCACTGCAGCCAACTGCTGGAGCACAGCTACTTGAATTTTCCACAAGAATGGATGCCACTGACCTTCCACAAATGGAACATTTAAAATATATTCAACATAACTATAAAATTATTTTCAGTTAAATCTAGCATTAGTGTTACACTGTAAATCATCCATAATTATCACAGGTGTACAGAGAGTACACTTTTCAACCCCCTCCCACAGCGACTTAACCGATGAATATTGGTTATGAACCCGCCTACCTGAAGCATATAGTTTGTACACTTCAGGAAATGTTGGTAGTTATGGACAACCCATAATTGAATTTCATTAGCCTTTACATCATTGTGAATTACCATTTGCATGCATGTAACACTAACAGCATGATCTTTATTCCATACCATATAGGAAAAATTGAACACATCTGTCCTGCAGAGCTAGTACAAATTTACATTAGCAACTATTGAATCAGTGAGGGAGGTATAATAAAGCAAGTGTTTAAATAAATGCAGCCAAATCAAAATTGTTTGTCTCCACACTACACTTCCTCATCAATGGACAGCTCAATGAGAACAAATGTTGTGGACAACTGTGGTTTGGACATTGCAGGCTGGCTGCACATTTTGCAATGATGTACATGCAGGAGATCGGTTGTTGAAGCATGAATGAAATCGATTTCAAAAAAGCTCCAAGGCTTACTTTATGAGAATGGGTCATTCCAGAAAACATCCATACCACCCCCACAGAGGAAATAGGAAGTTAACCCCCTTCAGATGTCCTAATACATTTACTATTATCAGAAACAATTTTTTCTCCCCTCCCCCTCCAGACGGCAGAAATTTCCTCCATGGGGGGAGTATGGATCTTTTCTGGAACGACCCAATTCATTTTCCATATGAGTGAGAGTTCCTATCAGCCGCATGTGAGGATGCATATTACCACCTCTTTTCTTTACCCATGCACAGTACAGAGAAGGAAAAACAAAGACCAGATTTTGAACCAAGTAACTTTGTTATTTAACTTAAAACAGCACTGTATATAACTTTAAATACTGTAAAAAATGAAATATCAGCTAAATACTAATTCAGTAAGAATTGTCTTGGTATGGAAATATCTTGTTCTGTTGTATATGCATTGTTGAATTGCCATGTCACTTTCTTGAGTATTACCAGAATATTAAGTATAGTTGAGCCAGCTTCCTAATATTATGGAATCTAGGATAGTTGTTGACTTTGCGGTTTTCTTAATAATCTCATATTAGCAACATTCCTAGATGCGAAGACTAACAGCATTCCCATCCCCATTAAGTTGTACATATACAGTTGCAGTCTTCTTGACAGTTCTTGTTTTATCCATATTGAAATTTGAGAAGCATGAATATCTAAAATATAATACAATTGATTTGCATTTCATTTCACAAACTGGAAACCTAAATCTATATGTTACACTAAATCTATCCAATTAATTTATTAACAGTAGATTTATTTCTAATTGAGAGAGAAACATACTTACATAAGTTACATTTGAACAAAACTATCTCTAAACTGGTTGGCAATCTTTTAGTTTTACTGATTCACCATTCAGTGCACAATATAAACTCACAATACAAATGAAATTTCTGCTGTCTGAAAGGGGATGGGGAAATGCACTTTTAGAATGGTAAAATGTACTAGGATGTGTAAAAGAATTTATGGGAGTTCTAATCTGTATGAGAGCTGTGGATCTAAGGCAAATTATTCCACATGTAGGCACTTTGCATGCTCCAAGGGAATAAACTATAAATTACAGTATTATTATATACTAGAGTATTTATTAACATGCGATAATTTTTAGTCAAAATAACTTAAACAAGTGCCAACGTTCACAGTGTGAAATGGATATGAGTCTATGGCCCACTAGTAAATTTTCATTATCAAATTATAATTTCTCAAAACTAAGCGCTTTAAAAAAATACTTTGTAGGCATATTAGCACCAGTCATAGGGCCATTATATGTTGAATTATAATATAAATAACAATAATATATTGTAGTTTTTCAATTACGTTCACAGTGACAGTGTTGTCAGACTGCCAGTGCAAGCAGCCGTGAGACATGACAAACAACGCGAATTCTTCGGCCAGGAAGATAAAAATTAGACGTGCTAGCTTCTTGTTACTTTCTCTCTCTAGACATCTTAATTTTTGAAGAGAAATTACTTATCTAGAGGTATATTTTAGCAAAAAAATACATTTCCAAACTGAAATATTTCATCTCAAGAAGGCCATGAAAAATTTGGACGCCAGCAATGAATTGGTCAGCGCCAAGGCAAATTCGCTTTTGCGCATGCACTAAAATGTCCATGAATCGTGGAGATTTTCACAGCCTTTACCAGGGTCTTCTCATTTTTCACGCGCCATGCACGAAGAAGACCCTGGGGACGAGGTTGAGAAAACATTGGAATTAGCATAAAATTAATGCTTTGCTCCTTTAATTAAGTCAAGTATTCACACATAAATTGTGCATAGTTGCATTTCTCATTATAGTAAGGAAAAGCAAGACAAAGTTTTGAAATATCTTATTCCATGTTCTTGTAAATTGAACTAAAATTTAATAATAATTTCACAAGTTTTCGTAGTAATTTAAGCCGCTTTGCTGTTTTAATTTTGACTTATCTTCTTGATAGACACAGAGTTGAGAAAACTGTCATGCAAACTACAATCGTGGAAATTAATTCGTATAAATTTCCTCCCTACGTACCCGTTTACAATGTTGGTTTGTGGTCCAACAATCATGGTTTGAACCAACATTGTGCTAGGGGAAGGGTGTTACCATTTCTAGTGATCATGGACGTTTCTATTAGCTAAAAATAAAATGGCTTTTTAAAGTAGCAAGACAAGATACGTTTTTAAAAAGTTTACGGATATTATTTCCATGATTGTAATAATAAACAATTTCAGGAATGTTTTTCTTCTCAATTCTCATAAGCAGGCAAAAGCCCGATCCTTTAATTAGTTTGATTTGATCGAAAGAAAATTGTCCACATTTATCTTTCGAACTTCTATATTATAAAGAAACTGTATTATCCGAATATAGCAGTATTTCATGGAAAAATCTACATATCATCTACAAATCCGTTCAATTATAAAATTTATGCCGAGTATACACAGTATTGTGCATGTCTTATTTTTATGTCCGTTTCACCTACTATATAATTATACACACTGAATATATCCCTCCCATGCAACAAGTGAATTCCAAGCTTGTGTATCATCCGGACAACAGAGTGGCTTTTGTCTACGCATGCGCGAGTAACGCACGCAGGCGTGGAGAGCGCGGGTTTATCTCGTGACTGAATTCTAAAAATAAAAACAAATTTACCAAATGAACAACTTCGTAATATGTGTAGGTTTACTGTTTGTACGCTCACAATTTTGGGCATTTCCAATTTGGAAGGTTTTGTAATAACTAATAACAACGTGAAAATAGAAATAAAAACGTTCTTGCTAGACACAGAAACGATCTAAAATGTTTGCTTATATAGGTGCACTTACTAACCGTACCAAATTTCATTGAATTTGGTTGCATCACTTCCGAGATATTAGGGCTTTCTTTTTTCTGCCGCAATCTTCGAATGGTCCAAATTTGATATTTTTTATTGTAATTTGATTCATAGGTTTTTAATGTTAATATCTCAGCAAATATTGCCAAGTTTTTGAAATCGTTTTACGTCTGTTCACATTAAGAGTGTCGCAACGGATTCGCAAAGCGAGCTCAAATACTGAAAAAGTTAAAATATAAAAAAAAATTAATAATGACAGCACGTTCTACGTTTGTTCGCTTGATGCCGTTAGAGTTTCAGAAATTGCTTTTGAGGATGCCGCCAAGCGCTCTGTTTTCATATCTTGCTCCGTTTAAGCCGGTTTTCCACTAGGCGGAATTTTGCGCGGGGAGCGGACTTTTTCTTTGTCTTGTGATTTCTCGGGTGGAACTAATTAGAAAAGACAAAGAAAAATTCCGCTCCGCGCCAAAATTCCGCCTGATGGAAAACCGCCTTTAAGTCTGTTTTCCACTAGGCGGAATTTTGCGCGCGCAGTGGAATTTTTCTTTGTCTTTTCTAATTAGTTTCATCCGAGAAATCACAAGACAAAGAAATATTCCGCTCCGCGCGCAAAATTACGCCTAGTGGAAAACAGGCTTTAGAAACGGTGCGGAAATGCTACAGCGACGAAGTGATGTTTTCAAAAAATTGCTTCCCCGTGGTGTGCACGTAGTCCCTTCGTTTATGCTAATACATTACACTCTAAATAATTTATACTTTTACTATTTTATACTCTAAATAATTTATAAAAGTAATTTAGAAAATTTGTATTCAAATGTTTGAAGCCTCGAAATGCTGGATTTAGAAATTTGATGTGGATAATAAAAAAAGCATAAAACGCTGAAACTACATGTATACATTATTATATGGTAGACACCTTTTAATGTTTTTTTAATTAAATATTACAGTGTCAAAGCAAAACAAAAATCATACTACAAGACTTTCATTTTAGTATAGTCTACTCCGCATGCAACTCTGTGGCAATGTAACCTGAGTATCAGGCCCTTATGTTTTCATTCGCCAGGATTAAATGGCGGCTGCGAATGAAGGAGGGCCTGATACAATTCTTTACCGCGGCGCATGTAAAAAGCCAGGTTCTGGCTTTTTCGTCTGATTGGCCGATTAGACAAACGATTTTTTAAATCTGTCATTTGATTGGCTGGTGCTAATTAGATTATACTATTGTCAGTTGTTGATGTATTTTATAACGAACTACAATTATATCCAGCCCACTAAACGGCTGAATTTAAATTAAAACTGAAGTAAAATTAGAAAATAATCGCAAATTAGCGACATATATTGCAAGTGTAACTTATATTAAATCGCCATCAGATTGCACTATCGACCAACTGACGTATAGTTATAAAGTATACTTAATATATATATACTTTATAATTATATGTCAGTTTGTTGATAAATACGGTAAGCGCCATGTAAATCTCTTTAATTGTAGTCACTGAAACCTCTGCGGAGGAGAGAGCAATTGGGTGGCGATTTAATATAAGCTACATTTCCAATATATTTCGCTAATTTGTGATTATTTTTGTTAATTTTATAATTAAGTTCATTGCAGTTTTAATTTAAATTCTGCCGTTTAGTGGGCTGGCTATGCTATAATTAGATTGTTGTTGTCGTTGTGTGAAATTTAAATTTCTCCTGCGACATTTTTATTGGATACTAAATATAAACTTTGCTGTGGGTGGAAAGCGATCAGGTTAAGTTTTGTGTCAGGCTCTATTTGTAAAATAGAGCCTGATACTCAGCTAGGTTAGTGGCAATGAGGCAATATTTTCAAAACACGAAGAGACATTAATTAATCTAATAAATTTGAAGTATAAGTGTTCACATTCCCATAAATTGTTATCACAACTTGCCCTGAATAAGCTCATCATATTTTACACTATACTGACTAACTCGGTAATATATATTTTTACAGCAATTAGCATACTTAATTAATGTTCGTATTGTAAGTAAAGCCGCGTACATACAAACTTGACAGGTATTTGCTCAGTGACTCAGTCATCTGCGGACTCATCTTCGAACGGCCACTGTCGTTAAATCTGTTTTATTTTATTGAAATCTACTTTCAAAAATTGTTATCGAAAGACAGTTTCAATTGCCATTAAGTTTTTTTTTTGTTTTTTTTTGGGGGGAGGGAGACTTTATAACAAACATACTTGCAGGGAGGTGAGTCCGGGATTGGACGCACCGAGGGTGACTGGAAGTTTCTCGAACTTACCGAGCGAAGCGAGCTGAGTTCGGGAACCTTCCAGCCACCCGAGGTGCGTCCAATCCCGGACTCACCGAACCTGCAAGTATGTTTGATTTTTATCACATGCATTTCGGTAAAAAGTACCAAAGAATTTACGCATTTTAGTATATAATTTCTTGTTTGGATAACGAACATTATAGCCGTCAACATAGTATGCAAACAAACAAACTTAGGCTTAAATTGAAGATAAAACAATTCTCTACAACATTCCCTTATTCTTGAAAAGAGAAAATGCACACATTCTGCAAAAACATTGCCAAGCCATTTATATAAACCTTCCCATGCCGAACAAATTTCGGCGGCCATCTTTCTTCTCCTCCACTTTGAATACAGAATTCAGAATACAGGCAATTCAAAAATTTTAACACGGCAGCGTTCCAGCATGACTTACAGGAAACATTTAAAACATACAGCTTTACTGCTGAACCAAACACTGCATGGAATGAATGGAAAACAATTTTTCTAGACGTTGCCAATACTCATGCACCTATTAAAACCCGCAGAGTTAAAAGTGCTCATGCACCATGGCTAACAGATCAAATTAAATCTCTTTCCTATCAAAGAGATGATCTCAAAAAGAAAGCCGTCAGATTAAACTCTGAATACTACCATAAGGCTTATAAAAAATGCCG